ACTGTTGAGCTTAAGATTTAGATTTGCTGGTAGCCAAACCAGCAGTTTTTCCATTTCCTATATTTGTGGCTGCTGTCAGTAACCTGATTACCTCCGACAAGGATGTTATGTTTTTGCCTGCGTTTGTTTGTTTGTTGGTCTGCAGGGTTCCCATGGAAACTTGGTGGAAGGATACGGTATATGCAAAGGAAGAACCATTAAATTCTGGGATGGATCAGGATCAGGGGACAGATCCAGGATTTTTTTTCTCTTTCTTTAACATTGCAAGATTTTCAGCATCTTGCTTGATTTCTCAGAGAAATACATATTTCATATTTAGGGGGGTTGGCATTGATAAGTGTGGGCAATTTTGTGCAGATCCAAATAAAAAATATAGATTTAGTGGATTTAAATGTGGCTTCATTGGGCTGTCGGCTTTCTTCAGCTGCTGTGTGGTAACAAATAGGTCTAGAAGCCTGTAACTACCACGGATGTGAAGCTGAGTAACATAATGTGGCCTTAGCTGTAAGCCTTGTTTCATTGACTGTAGGCTTTGGCAGAGATATGCACTTACTGAGGGCAATTTAGTTATGGTAAAGAACTTCTCCTCTGACTCAGCAAGATAGTGAATAAATGTAATGTTGAATTAGTCATTTAATGAAATAGTGAAGTATTGATAAGACTGTTAAAAAGGCCACACGTTCCTTTTTGTTCTCCCTGCTCTGAGTTATTCATGCAGGAGGAAGAAATACAAAGGATAAAACATATTTAATTTGATATGATGTTATTAAATACTCAATATTCAATATTATATGTTTTTTTCCTGTAAGAATTTTTATTGGCATCGATTTCACGATTAATTAATTAGCTGCTTCAACCTATAACATATATAGAATCTAATAATAATAATAATAATAATATGTTGCCAAAAAAATCTGTGCTGCTGATGTTGCAGGATGGGTCAGTCAAGCCTCTAGAAATTGGCTGCGCTTACAGAAACAAGCCCCCCAACTGACTTAATACTAAATAATCTTTTTTAAGTTTTAAAAACTGGGTCTTAAGAAACATCCTAACAGCAAGAGAGCCAGGGCGATTATGCCGATGTTAAGTTTAATACCCACACTCCTGCCAAAACAGGGAAAGCAAGGGTGGAAAAGGGACAGATTTTTTGGCAGCCCTTCATCAAAAGCATAAAGCAGTGGCCACAAGGGGAGACGTAAAGAGATTAGAAGAGCTATTGACATTTCCCCATAGCAAGGAATGGGGTGTCGAGAAGCAGCGGGGATGATAAGGTGTACAGGCATTCAGTACCCCTCTCATGTTTTATGTATCTGTGATCACAACTGATCGTGAGAGAAATTAATCAATAACAATGCCGCTGGGATGTGTGGATGACACATGCCACTGCCCACCCCCACCCGCCACCTTGTGCTGCCGCCACCTCCTCCTCCTCCTTCTTCAGCACTCCTTGCCACACTCCTTCATTCTCCACCCTCCTCCTTTCTCCTCACCCCATCCATTTTGATTCGGGGGGCCTGTTGTGCACCGCGTCTAGGTGAGGGATTTTTACATCCCCGGCGTGCTTGGAGGAACTCCATATGGCCGGGATCAAAGGTGTTGCTGGGTGCATGGTTCTGCTTGGTTGCCAGCCACCGCCGTTAATTAGAAAACAAGATCAGAGGCGGTATTAAAATCCAATTAAGCCCGTATGAACAGATTGCCAAGTGATGTTCACTAATGCATTACTGAGCACCATGCAAATTTTAGTGGCAGCATTTGGCTTTATGTTATGTGTTTGTGTCATTAAGAGTGTGTGTGTGCGGGAGTGTGTCGCTGCACGTGTCACTTGCTGGCGATCCGAGGCTCTGTGACATTGCCTGATCTTTTCCCTGATACACAGCTCTAATCTCATATAAACAATCAGCTAAAGCTCCGCAGAACAACAAACACCTATCCACACAATAAGATTGGATGATATTGCTTCTTACAATTAAAGCATAATTGAGAACGTTGAATTATTGATCCATTATAATTGAGTTCTCTTCATTTGATTTGTATGAGGAACTAATACAGTGCACGGAAAATCCAGCAGATTTGGATAAATTGCCTCAGAGTATTCGGGTTTGATACAAAGTTTGATACAGCCTTTCCACTCGGTTTCAGTGGCCACTCATAGGAGACAGGAGCTTTCTGTTTAAAACCATTTTAAATGTTGAGATGGCTGTCAGCAGATAAAATTAAACCATGTTAAGGAATTGGATGAGGCACATTAAAATGCGTACATAAAATCATCCCGCACAATAAGTGCCTATTTAGTCCGCGAGTTTCATTCGCCACCGCAGACAGACAGGGCATCTGTACCAAAGACTGACAAGTGGATGCAGCTGGTGGCCTATGGCCTGAAGCATCCACATTATCACAGACGAGGGGCTGTTAATGTTGGGCTGAATGGAGCCCCTTTTGAGATACAAAATAGCATTCTGATTAGAAAGCCAGGAAATACACATGTGAAGTGCCGGAAACCGTCACAATGCAGGGCCACGGCACATTTGGCACCGTCTCAAGCTGCGTTTATAGAGGAGTACGGTTTTAATGAAGGGATGTGCCACTATCAGACACATTCACATCTCTCATACAATGTTTTTCAGGATATGCTCTTCAGGTTTTGGGTTCGATCAGTATTTTCTAATGAGACAAGAAACTGTGGACTTGTAGTTTTAGGTTTACAGAGATGATTTCATTACATTTGTTTGTAGTTAAAATGTTTCCGAGATCTAATGTTTACTCTCCCAGGGGAGCCACATGTCAGACCTCTTTTGGCTTATTGTCCGTGCCAGCACATTAAATCTCACTGTTGCTGATTTTTTTTTTCTTCCTTACGAAAAAACTGTTGAACAATTAAATTAAAGATGAGCAAAAATGATCTGCATCATCTACATTACAGAACTGGGCAGGTCACAGTATTTGACAAACAGTAGATCATTCAGAAGAACAATGAAGTGCTTGTATGTGGATCTAGCTTAGGTATGGTAAATTAGAGTGGGATATAGTTCAGAGCAACAAAAACACAGAGAAAGGAGGATTTGGTTAGGATGAAAATAAAATTGCGTAATGTAATATAGCCGCACCATCAATGGGCAGACAACAATGAGGCAACTGAGTCAGCTTTGATTCACCGGCTGTGGTTGGAGAGTCTAAATAATCTCCTTTCCTTATCACTGTTCACTGACCTCAATGGAAAACATTACAAAGGTCAAGGAATGATGTGAAATCCAACTCTATTTTACGTTCAGCTTCTTTTTTTTTTCAGCTGTGCACACATTCTGAGAAAAGATGTTTCAGTTCAGGGAAAACATTAAACCATCAGTTACTCACAGAAAGTAACAAAATACATTGTATTAATAATAAATACAAACAGGAAAAAGGAATGATGAAATAATATGATATAATAACTAGGTAGCTGTGGATTAATTATGAAAAATCCCCATTTTATCTGTATATTGTTGTGGGAACGGAAAGATAAATGACAGAAGGTGGATATGTACATTTAACATTTGTTTTTTAATTGATGACAAGTCCAAATGATGGCGTTATTAAGATTGAAAAATAAATTCAAAGTAAAACATAACACACCATAATTCAATTTGTCTGTCTCTTTGCTATGCCTCTGAGCAAATATAGGATAATGTTTTTTTTTAATCAAACTAAAGATAACCTTTATCCTAAACAATTGGGGCATGTTAGCCTCTGTTCTTTTTTAAATTAAATATAGGATGGTTGAATAACACTTTTCTTTTTTAAATCAAACAAGCAAACCTTGGCATGGGCTCCTGAATGAGCAGCAGTGTTGTGCTATTTCTCACTTGAAAAGAACGAGTTCAAAGTTCAGTTCATGCAGATGAAAATGAACTTGTTCACGTTCTTTTCTTTGTTTTTAATTGGGATGATTTAGAAAAACTTACGATCATGTCTTTAGTTATTAATCGATGGTGTCGGATCATGAATCTGTGTCGCTCCGGTCACTTTAACACTGACTCCTGCTGTTCACGTCTCGTCTCGTGTTGTTCCGAGCACAAAATGTTGACGAGTGATTTTTCCTGATGCAGCCTCATGAACTCTGGAGCTTATCAAACAAACACTAAGTTACTTCATGTACTGATCAGGTCCTGATTACTCCTGAGGAGTGTTTATGAGTTCAAGTGAGAGCAGGTCAGCGTGGAGGAGGACACAGAAACCCCAGCTCAGCTTCTGCTCTGATCATGAAGCAGCTGATCACTGATCAGCTGTGACCAGAGAGAAACTCTGTTTGTTTCCACTGCTCTTCAACAAAGTCACTTACCTGCTTCACGTGCACGATCCTCTGCTGATCTCACTGTGTGTCGCGCTGAGCGAGTGGGGTATGAGTATATGGAGCGCGTCGTTCTGCGCATGCGTTAATGCGTTAACTCCATAAATGAATCACCCCGCGTTTACGCGTTAATTTCGACAGCCCTAATAATTACGTGAGGGTTATACGTTTTTTGCAATCAAGCCATTAAAATAACTTTTACATTAGTATTTAGTTCTCATGATGATATTGTGAACACTAAGTTTAATTCGCTGGTTGTTCACTTGACAGATGTGACAGAGTAGAAATCAGCGGCTCAGAGCATCATGTGAGGATTTACATCCGTTCCGGATCGTGTCATGAGAATAAAACAGCTGCTCTGTTTTTTTTATATTCATGTGTGACCGTCCAGGTGCAACTACAATGTTAAGTCGCTTTAAATGTTGCTGCTGCAATGAATTGTGGGACGACATTTTCTCCGTTCCTTTCCTAAAGGATGGTGCAGTATTTCCTATGTTAAAGGAGATCAAATATTCAAAGAGCTCTTATTATGGCGGCCGCTGACAATGTTCCGGATCATTTCCCTCAGTTAAGGTTTCTACGCAAAATGGACAATTCAAACGCACCCGCTCACTGTTGAAGTTTTGGCTTCAGGGATCTACCGTCCTCACGATTGATGGCAGCTGTGTGTCATCAACACAACATGTTCTCATTGGTCAGAGCAGGTCACTGCTACATTTGTAAACCTTTGACAGGGTTCTGTTTGTTCACCATGATGGCGGTTTGGGCCTGCTCAGGGTAAGTCACTGTATCTGTGATGCTTTGACTGATATCTGATGAGTTGTAGTACTTATGCTTTGTCTCTTTTTTTTCGGTAGGGCTTTGCTTCTTGTTCTGTTGACTGGTGCAAGTTACAGCTACCCTGCGAATAAAGGTAAAATCCCTTTCCTCCAAATTTTCCTGCTGCTTTTGGGAGTTGGTATTCATTTCTCTTTCTCCCTACAGGTTTTGATGCGAGCTCCGCCTATGGCAGCAGTAACAGTGCAAACCTGGTGGCGGCTGGCTCAAGCTGGGAACGGCCTTCCTCTGGATTTACAGATTCTGGTGCGAGGGCTGCTGCTGCTAAAACTGCCTCGAATCCTGCTCGTCTGCAAACTGCTTCACGCAAAATGCCAAAGTACTCTCAGCCCGGTGTTCAGAACGCACCGGTAGCAGCCGTTGACACTTATCCTGCGTCTGACCGTGCAGGGTATCCCAGCAGATCCTCTGCAGGCCCAGCGCAGCAACAAGCCTCTGCACAAGGTAACTGGTGCTTACATGACTTGGCTGTATTCACTCTCTGGATGGTGTAATGGTCATTGAGTGTTTTTTCATATTTTGAATTAGTTGGCTAAATGCTTATAACATCTGCCCCTAGAGATCAACTGGCTAGTTGCACCTCCCAGTCCTTTTTCTCCTGAGGAAAGACCCAGTGCTCGCCGCTTTGTCTCCAGTAAACCTGAAGCACTTGGCTCAAGCTACGTGGGTCCACCTGCTCCTCCTCAGTTCCAGGCAGGTGAATTATCTCATGCAGAGACCAGCTACGAGAATGGCGACTACGAATCTGAGACTGAAGAGCAAGGCATCCCACCACCACCTGCAGGTGTCGCTGTTGCGGATGGACCAGTGACTAATGGTGAACTTAAATCAGTCCCTGGTGGAGGATGGGTTGTGTATCCTTATCCGATTGGCTACATGTTCCTGACGGGCCGGTATCCTCCAGGCACACTCTCTCACTCTCGCAACAGCTTTGAGAAGGGGAGGGACTCCTGGCACGACACCCACAACATAAGATACTACTATCCTGCTAACCCCAGTACTCTGCAGGCTGAGACCATCCCCACTGACTCTGCAGTGCCTCAGAGCATGAAGTGGCCCAGCCAACCTGTGAAGCAGTCTGCTGGGAGTGCTGGCTATGGTCAGAGCGGTGCAGTGAATGGACAAAACCAGCCCTATAGAAGAGTTGGGTTCAGCAGGATGACACAGCCCAAGCATGGTTAAGGTTGAAGACATGTAGATCGATCTGGATTCAATAAATGATCTTAAAGATCAGTTGCACTGGTTGTTTTACTGCTATGGTTTACTCCAAGTCACTGGTGACCTGATAGGATAGTTTTGTCTTTAATTTTTGGACCGCATAGAATTAGTACAACTCCTCGGATTCAGTGTGTAAAGTTTGTCTATTTTTATTGGAAGACTAATTTTAAAACTCATTCGACAAATACGAACGTGTGTGCAAAGACATTAAATGTCCTGTGAACTCAAGTCACACTTTGCTCTTCCACCTGCTGTCATGCATTACTAATCCTATGTCTTATTAATGAATTATCACTTCAGGTTTTCAAATCCAGCTCCAGCATCAGATGTGTGTCACAGTTTCATCTGATGCCATTTAAACGTTAACAAAAGCTCTACATTCTCTAAACATCTGGGGAGTTGAGGGGTAGAAGCTTTTAAAGGCACTTTTTCCTATGCTGAGAATTAAGAGGCGTTCATAAACAAACCCCATCGTATTGGGCAGGCTTGATGTATAGTTTGGTTTGAGCTGTGGCTCAAACAAGGATGAATCAATATCCAATCTGTTACAGTGACATTTGCTGATGTCATTAATGGACAGTGGGCATCCTAATTCATATAACAAATCACCTCTGAAAGACTCTCCATTGATCTTTAATTAGAAGCTGCTGTTAATCACCTTTATGACTCTCCTCAGTGGCACCATAATAGTTTCTGCAGTGAAGCCAGGGCAGCATCAGCAGGATGTGTTTGCTGTCTGTGTTTATGTACAAAGCACCGCACCATTAATGGATCCACCAAGATTTTCCAGAATATTTTACAATTGTGACTTTTTATCCAGTTTGGGCCCAAGAGAAGAGTTCAAATACAGAGTCTTCATCTGCGACTAAAAAATCCTCTCATTTCTCTAAATGGTCTTTTCATGCATCGGGACAAACAATGACCCGCAGGAGAGAAATGGCAATTACCTCTAGTGAGGTGGCCTCTTCGCACACCTGTCACAACACAGATGAACCCATCATAAAAGACCAGTGGAGAGGGAAAAAAATACAGGGGGTCTCCCTCGGTGACCCTTCAGCTTTCATAGTCTCCCCTCTTTTCCTGCTCGACTATTAAGACATAAAGGGGTCAGTCCCCAGACGGCTCCTTCCTTTATCCCTCGCTCTCACACTCATCTCGGCTCATGCTCCCCTACCGGTAGCTACTGAGCCTCCTCGACATCAACATTATCATTGTATCCTGGTTTTTATTCTCAGAGAACACCTCCTTCCACAATTTGGATTTTGTCTGTTTGCATTGTGACTTTGAGGTTTTCATATTTATAATGGTTGTCCTTATGAACAGTTTTCTCTTTTAATAATGAGATCTTATAAACAGAAGAACATTTTAAGATAAAACATGTGATGTGCAAGTGCAAGTAGCCTTGGAAGTGATCAGGATGATTTTGCAGCTCCTTGATGAAAACATTAAATTCTTGATGGCTTTTCCAGATTCAGTGAACCCAATGTTTTCCTTTTCAAGAAGTGACGATTAGAATGTCATCCTCACTGTTCCATCAATTTTTGGAACAAATAGAATAAGCTACTTCCAAATTGTTTGAGTAATGTGAGGCAGGGCTATTAAAACATATTATGTGAAGCATAAAAGCAAAAAAAAAAAAGTTGTTATATATTGCCACATGCTGCGATTTGGCATCTGGCATCCTCCTGTGCGACTTGATGTGAAGGTGGAATCTGGTTTGACTTAGCCAGGCGGCAAGTGTGGCAAACGTTGGCCTAAACAAACATGTATTTCAGATGTGTGGCTGTAAAATGCATGGCCAGATGAGGAAATAATTTGCTCATAAAATTCATAGATCTTCATACTTGAGTGTTATTCCTTCAAGTGCTTTACGGTGCTCTCTTAAAATAATGAAACAGGAATAAAATCCCATGGGTAAAAAAAGTTTTATTTACAGTCGTTCACATGTGTGATTTCTTTTGATGAAATTTGGTCATTTCTTGTCCAATGTACCTGATTATTCATCTAAGCTGCTCACGCTCCATTTGAAATTTCCTTTATTCTTTTTTTGTGCAAATCTTTTTTGCATTTGAATACCTTTGTGTTATGAAAACCATATCATTAAGTGCACCACAGATATAGTGAATTCCATTGCCATGTATAACTTTTTTTTCCTCCATAAATGCAGGGTATGCACAGACCAGTGTTAAAAATCTACCCCAAGCCATCGCGAACGGCCCAATTGCCTTGTGATTAACGCACAATAAAAGAATGTGATGGCTTAAAGAAGCAGCAGGAAAAGCTGCCCAGTGAAAGATGGGTGTACGCCGCACTCTATAATTAAGCCAGTCTGCACTTGATGAAAGTAGATCACACTGGCGGGCCACGGCTTCACAGCCAGTTTGTTTTTACGACATAATTACAGTCCAAATCAAATGAGAAGATTTAATATTGCACCACGACAACCATGTGTCCAATGTCAACAATGACACTGACCCCCCTGAGGCAAGGTGTGTGTGTGTGTGAGTGCGTGCGTGTGTGTGGGATGGGGGGGGGGCAGGTCAGGCGTCAGGAAGCCGACAGCAGAGAAGCCTCCCCACCACGGGAGCTATCTACCTGTGTCTGGGCCCACCTGGGAGGTCTGACACCAATGGAATTACACTGACAGTGGGACAGAGGGTAGCAGAGAGAGAGAAAAGAGTTTGTCTCTGAAATAGAAGGAGGGAAGGCGGAGGGAGAGGGGGGCAAGAGGGAGGGGGATGGAGTCATGCGGAGAGAAAGTTCATCTGAGAAGAATCTATCTATTAGAAGCAGGTGAGGGAGGGGAAACAAAAAGCTGAGAGAGGAAAATAGATACAAGAGAAGTGGGTGAGTGAAAGTGAGGAGAGCGAGAGGAAAGAAGAGAGGGACAAGCAGCAGTTCACAACAGCAACAAATCACCTGGAGATATTTGTTTTCTTTTAGTTTTTTTTTTTTTCAATTTTGTATTTGTCAACAGTAAATCCAGCAGGCGATCGATTCGCGTTCATCAAATTCTTTGCAGATAATCTGGAGGCTCTAACTCGGACTTTTGCTTTCACACATGCACCTCCACCGGAGAAAATACAGAGAATCTGCAGAGTCCAGTGCTTGAGCAAGTGGTCTTGTCGATGACGTTTCTGACACATGTCGGACCCAAACAACAACATAACTAATCTCTGCAGCAAAATGTATTAGGTCCTGCCTCCTGCCTGCTGCGCTGCCCCTCATCTGAACGCTCTGTTGTTGTGAACACGTCTGAGCGGAGAATCTCTTGCTGTGTTGTTCATGTGTGAAATGCAAACTCCAAAGAAAAGTCTGGAGCCATTTCTATGGACATTCTCCGGAGTTCACGTCTGAAAGTGGCTAAAGAGGAATTGTCAAACAATAGACTCTAGTTTTTCTGCAGTTAAGCAATTGTCTGACTATAACTGAGGCAGTTATAGCAGCCCACAGTTGTCCTCTCTGTTTTGAGATGAGTGCCATTTTGATTCTTAACAACATGGTTGTGCCATAAACGACCAAAACCTCCCACTGAGTGGCTTCAGTGTTTTTCCTCTCAGGAAAAGTCTGTCTTTCCTGTCCTTTAGTGCACAGCTCGACATGACCACAAAGCCTTTGTTCCTCTGGGTCAGATTCTCCCGGAGGAGAATATTCCTAAATCCCAGCTGTTGAGTGACCACGCTCAACCACACTGCTCTCTGTCTCCTGACCACCCCTCTAACTTGCTCTTCCTGCTCTCCATCCATCCATCCAACCCTTCCCCTACTTCCCTGCCTTTTTCCAGCGCTTTTTTCCCTCCCGTTCCCAAGAGCCTCCAGATGGGCTGAATCTTCTCTGGTCGCTGTGTCGCAGGGCACAGCCCCGGCAGCTCGTTGGGCGGCAAGAGTCATTTGACTGGGTATTGGTCAGGGCTGGTAGATTAGTAACTGGATATCTACAGAGAGGCCAGTGGGGCCTGAGGCCTGTGATCCAGTAGAAAGAAGGGTCTCTGTGGTGGCCTTGTGGTTCTGTGTGGGCCAGGGCTTGAACCGCAATCCTTGCTGACACCCTGTTCCCCAAGGAGGTGGTTTTACTCCAAATCATGATTTCCCATCTCTCCCAACTCTCCGTCTATATCTATAGGGCCACTGCCCAGGGCTTTCTGGTGAAGAAGATACAGCACCTCCTCGCCACTCGCACTTGAGGCCACTTTTCTCCCACGGAGCTGGGCACACAAGAGGAGGACTTTTCCCAAACAGTCTTAAAAGAGCGCTTTTGAACCTCATGTCACATGTGAACTGCATAAGATGGGCTGGTGAAAGAGAAGTGTCCGGAATATATAGGTTCCCCTAAAATAGGTTAAATAATACGATGTTACAGGATGTTTTACAATTTTACAAAACAAATACACAACTGTGTTCTCCACTATGTCAATTTGATAAGGAAAATATGAGTAATACCATGTGTTTTGAAAATATACCTGAGAGAAATAAACAAAGCACCTAGGGTCATTTGACACTGTGAATTTTAATCCAGTTTTTACCTTTTTTCAGAACCATTAAAAACATCTGCAGCTACTAATCGTCGGCAGAGTCATGCTATTCCAAATGTTAAGTCAATAGTTTCGCCTTTGTGAGGATAAGAACTGTGGGAATGTGACATCTTCTCAACATGCACATTTCTGCTGACCAGAAGACCAGAATCATCAACATGGCACCCAGATGTCAGCCTCCAGGCACACACACACACATACGCAGGGTTGGGAAAGTCACAATCAGATCCCACCAACAAACAACAAATCCTCCAAACATAATCTGCGCAAGCAATTTGTTGCTGCTTGTTTGATTATTTTCAGAATATTTTGACATGATAATTATGTTTTTACGGTGGATCATGGATAATTTTGAGACACAGAGACACTTCAGTTGTGTGTGTGTGTGTGTGTGTGTGTGTGTGTGTGTGTGTGTGTGTGTGTGTGGCAAGAGCTGGCAAGCACTGAGAATTCCTTCTGATTTGTCTCTCACACACAAACCATCCCCACACAAGTCTCCTTTCCTTTCTTTATTCCTCTATCTGCACTCTATTGTTATGTCTCTTTTCTTTCTTCTCGTTCACACACACAAACACACACACACACACACACACACAGCGAACATTCACTGTTGTGCTATCCACAGGCACTGGAGGCTCAAGCAAGGACAAGCTTGACTGCCATTGGCTTGATGTCAAGAAATACCTGATGGGTCCCCACACTCATGCCAGAACTCATTTATGAAGTATGAGCATGTCAACCATTACCCTCAGAAATCAAACCTCACATGATGCCGAACAACCACAAGTTCCTCAGTGACAATCAGGCCGACATTCATCAAAATTTATCAAAACATTGACTACTGTTTGTATTCACCAAAAATATATATATATATAAATGAAAGGAGACAACCTTGATTATAGGTTTTACTATTTATTACTGGCCTCATGTTATCTGACACACACTCTATGAACATTTGAGTGTTTGACAATGTGAGCTTGTAGCTGCTCACTGAAGCAGCATTAAGGTTTGTACGTGACATTTATCTACAACATATGTAATGCCGACATATGTCAAGTCAACATATTTGGACTTGAGGTTGGACCGAAGAATGTGGATTGGGAATTTCTGCTGAGCAAAAACATGTTCGATGCCTCAATGATGCACCGAGGTGACCTAACGCATGACAGCAGCGGTGTAAATCTAGTAGTTCAGATTTTATAGCTGTTTGTAGGCTACTATAAGTTATATGTTCAAGTATTCAATCTTTTTATGATAAATCTTTGGATACTTTTCTAATCCACATCATACAACATAAAAATGACAACATGTCGTATCTTTAAGATAACAACCAATGTTGGTCAGCTGCCATTTTAAAGTCATACAACATTATTATCAGTAGTTTATGGTGCTTTGATGATACACTTATGTGGTACCCAGTTCTCAGTTTTCATTGCCCAACGGTTCAAATAATATTGACATTTATATTTAATCTATTACAGATATTGTGAAAATATTTTTTTTTCATACAGATGTTCCACATTATAAGACGTGTGCTATGTAGCTTGGTATAGAGTTACATTATAACTGCACTTGTGGTCCCATCAGCAGTTGCAACATGTGTTTTATTAGTGCCGGTGTGATGTGGGGATGAAATAATCAGAGTGAAAAATATATTCAGTCATAGAGCAATTGCAACATTTATTGAAGTGTTGGCTTTCTTGTATTGATTTTTCAACACATTACAAAAATACATATATGTTCAAAACAGCAGATGTGTACTGTTCTGAAATCACTTACTTTTTTCACAATGATGCACTCCCCCCAAAAAAGAACAAGGAAACTGTTTTGTACAAAGAGTGTAAGTGAAAAGTGAAATATGAAAATGCATTTCAAATTACAGCTGTAAGTGCCATCACAAGACCTTCAGCCAACCACGAGAAAAAAAAAAAAACAGCATAAAAAACATAATGTCCATGAATGTCTTGTAGAATTTGGAAAAGTATTCCCTCACAAACCATAATATTCCCCCTGCGGAAGGTTCAGCTTCTTTCTTCTCCTTTTTTTTTTTTTTTTTTTAGAAAATCATTTTGTTTTACATCCTTGAGGGATGGCTTCACCAAACCAACAACAAAGGAGAGACCATAAGTCAATGATGGGACCACTCTTGTTAGAAAAAAAAATAATAATCTGGCATGATTCTGCAATATTACATTTAAAAAAATCATCTCCCCATACAGTGAACAAGTAATCATACAGAAACATAGTCATGAAGATAAAATCCCTCCACCAGGATAATCATACAAAACTGCTATGGCATTCAAAAACATTTTTAAAGAACATTGGAGAAAACAATACTTTATTATCATTTTTAAACACTTACACAGAGTATTTCATTAATGGCATACTTCAACACTGTAAACATATTGTAAGATTGAATGTCCGTGTGTGTGTGTGTGTGTGTGTGTGTGTGTGTGTGTGTGTGTGTGTGTGTGTGTGTGTGTGTGTGTGTGTGTGTGTGTGTGTGTGTGGTCTGGATCATGGTCAGGCTTCCACCGTTCATGGTTTCAATCTGATATATTTCATATTTCATAGCTGTATGGCTCATTTTTGGCCGAACTCTGGGCTGAATTTACTCCTGGAATGAATACACTGTGCACTTTACAAGAGGACTTTGATTTTTGCACTCATGCATCAACATCTGTAAGCAAGCTGAATGCAGCCCTTCAGCCAATCGTGTTAATTCACTGAAAATATATTGAAATACTTGGTGACTGAATGGCTTATGGAGGGCTGCTGTGACCTTAATGTCAGGAATATGCATTGAAGGTACACTATGTTCCTTTTTTTTCTCTATGATAGCAAAACGGCACACATAAAACCTGACAATAGGCCAGAGAGGCAGGTCAAACCTTCCAGTGAAGATGATTTTGATGACTGAGAGTTGCAGTAGTATGATGAATGATGTTGTCTCGTTCCCCTTTGATGTGGCTTTCGCTGTCTCCCTCCCTCTCACGCTCACTCTGTCTCTACACTGATGGTCCGTTATAAGATGTGGCCACTAGATGTGCGTTTGGAAAAAAGAAAAAAATAGAACAACACACTTTTCATATGCTTTCAATTTCATTTGAATGACTCTTTTTCTCCCTGGTCAAGGCCTTCCTCTCTCCCCCTCCATTTTTTCCTCACACTTCCACATTTCTCAGTTCCAATCTTTAATTTTTAACAGAAGAATAGGTTGCCCGGCCACCCCCCAGAGCAGCCGTGCTTAAAATTATCATAACTCATATATAGACTTTTTTTATGCACCCGATTCATTTGAAAGTGAATGATGCAGAAAATAAAAACTGTAATCCCCCCAAAAGTCACGAACACGCACACTGTCTCAAAATCTGTTACTGGGAGTTAAACCCGTATCACTTTGTGAAGCGAATGAACCGGCTTCCTTTTTTTTTTGCAAAGCCGCTCTAATGCATGAATCTGAGCTAGTGAACTGTGAAAAGACGCCGACGGAGAGAGGCTTAGAGCACGCTGCCGAGAGAAGAACACACGCAACACGTATTGATATGAATTTCATTTGAAACCGTTTTGTGCGTCCTAAGGGGACAGGGGCAAGTCGGCCTGGGTCAGAGAGAGAGGGAGAGAGAGATGACAGAAAGTGTTGCAATTGTTGAAGTAGCTTTCAGTTAACAAACCACCTTTGAGTAAGCACATGTACGGTGGGGGAGTGGGGGAGGTAATCGAGTGAGTCTGATAAAGCAATAATGTATGGTAGTTACACTTATAGCATATACTGTGGATGATGCAAGCAGCTGGTCTTCTGATTGTTTAATTTTAGGCCATGTTTCACGTAAAGTCAGGGCTACTTTAACATATATATATAAAAAAAAGAATATATTTACAAACCATAAACAGGACTTTTCTCCTTCTCACATTAATCACAAGTAGTCTCAACATATTAGATATGTCGGTTTAATCCTACGTTGGGAATGTTCTGAGCATCAGTTAAGGGTACCTCCATTAAGTGCAACCTTTATTTATGTCCTGTCTGAAGCGAGGACAGCAATACAGTAACTACATTTTTGAAATAATTTACATGCCAGTATTTTATTTATTTCAAAAAAGGACAAATTCCCTGAATAAATTAAAAGCAACTCATCAGATCTATAAGACGATGTTGGATTTTTAAAATCCAGCATGATGTTTTATTGTCAGGCTGACATTCAGTGCTTTGTGCCTGTATGAGGGAATGGATTGTAGTCCGCTGCTGCAGTTTATATAGAAAACAATTCTTTTTACTTTTAAAAGCTAACGGCTTCATATAACTTTGCTCTCACGCGATAATAAGCTTCCTTAAAGGAAAAAAAAAGGATGTTTTGTATTAAGGGTGACTTTTTTTCCAGTTATCGCATTTTAGAAAAAAAAGTTTCTTTTTTTAGCACTTTTCAAAACTAACTCCATATGAAATCCCACAAAGATGTACCTGCACATGCCAAATATCATTACAAAAATCCAATAAATACAGAAATTATTGCACAGTAGAAAGGCTCCACGGATTCCTAACTGATAAAATCCTCAGACAGTTTGCCAGGAAACACCAAGTTGGGCATTCCAGACAAGTTCTCATTAAAGTTTCCCTCTATTTATATTCTCAGGTGGCAGTTTCTGTGACAAGAAAAAAAGATGAACATCAATCAGTCTCAATTTTTTTAAGAGCGATCATCCAGCCAAGCCCCATAGCTGAAGAAGTGGTTATAAGGATTTCATTTGTGTGTGTGTGTGTGTATGTGTGTGTGTGTTTTCCTGTGTACACTGAAGACTGTATAACTAATGGTCGCTGGCTATACCTCTGTCCGCCTGCTCCAGTTTAACCTCACTGGCCATCAAATGTTCGCCATGCCACTTCTTCATGTGTTTCTCCAGTGTGCTGTAGACACTGAAGGGCATGTGGCAGATGTCGCAGCGGTACACCTCCTTACCAAACTGCCCATGGGTCTTCATGTGGCGCGTCAGCTTGGAGCTCTGGGCGCAGGCGTAGCTGCACAGGTCACACTTGTAGGGCCGTTCCCCCGTGTGGCTGCGTCGGTGCACTGTCAGGTTGCTGCAGTTCTTGAACACCTTGCCGCAGTACTCGCACGTGTCATTCCTCCTGTCCTTGGAGCTCGGGGGCCTCCCCGGTCCCGGACCCCGCAGCAGGTGAGGAGTGCTGCTGCCGCTGCGGCCCGAGGCGCTCCCTCCTTCCATCAGCTCACCAGGCGGAGTGGAGAAGCGCAGGCTCCCTGTCTCCGAAGAGGAGTGCTCAGAGGAGGTGGCGAACGGTGACTGACGGGAATCAGTGAACCCCAAGAAAGGTTCTCTGATGAAGTGGCGTGAAGCTGCGTAACCAGCCAGGAGCTGAGAGTAGACATTCTCAGGGGAGATAAGGGGTATGGTTGGGGGAAGCTCCAGCTGTTCCTTCTCAATCTTGATCCTCTTGTTGTTGGAGGGGCTTGGGCTGGTGATGGGGGTGGGCCGACGCTGGAACAGCCCAGGGAAGGAATCTATTTCAGATACACTAATTCTGCCGTTCATCACAGGCCTCTGGTCCTCCTGCTCATCTCGCTTTCGCTCCTGCTCTCTCTCATTCTCTCTTGCTCTTTCTGCTTCACCCCTGTCTCCACCATCTCCATTAGGTTGTCTCTCCAGGCTTCTCTTATTAGGGTTAAGTCTAAGGTGATTGTCCAGATGGTTATACGGGTGCATGATGCTCACGCCGCCACTGTCACATACTCTGTCCCTGCTCATGTTCTTCTCCTCAGGAGATTGTCTTGGACCATTCTCCCTGTTCTGGTTGAACTCCTGCGAGTCCTCACTTAAGTTGGAATCTGGCCGACTTCCATTCCTCAGCTCCTCCTCTTCTTCTTCTTCTTCCTCTTCCTCCTCTTCCTCTTCCTCCTCCTCCTCCTCATTGTCCATTCCCATCACTCTTGAATCTCCCTCCCGACTCTTCTCCTCACCCTCTCCTCCCTCTCCTCTATTTCCCTGTTCTGGGGAGCCACTCATAGACCCAGACTTGTTGTGCATATGTGTCTTCATGTGCCTTTTAAGCTTGCTTGCCTGGGAACATGCGTGGTCACATAGATGACACTTGTACGGCCTCTCTCCTGTGTGACTGCGCCTGTGGACAATCAGGTTGCTCTGGAACTTGAAAATCTTGCCACAGAACTCACAGGATTTTGATTTTCCCGGGGCTTGGTTTGGACCCTGGGTGTCAGGAGGGCTGGTGGAGCCATGTGCCCCCTGGGGAGTGGGTGGCTGTGGAGCATAGGTGAGAAACGCTGGGGGCTTGGAGCCAGGCTGGAAAAGTGTAGGACTTAGCAGGCGGTGCATGTGTGGCACACGGTTGGGTGAGAGAGGGGGTGTAGGCCCCCCATTATTGGTTGTGTTGCCTGCCAGTTCCCTCAGACGTCGGGAGAAGTCCATGGAAGGAGGCTCCATGGGGGTCATCCGCATCACCCTCTCAAAGGCACTGGGGTGCTGGGACAGCAGCCCCATCTCCTCTGGGCCTAGCCGCTCTAGAGGGGGTCTTGGGGGAGGTGGAGGGCTGATAAAGGGTGGCGTCGCAGGCAGTCGAGTCTCCATGTACCCCGGGGGAGGGGGGTGTTCCCTGAGCAGGGGCGCAGCCATACGGAGGAGGTGGAATGGGTTGTTGGTGTCGCCGAGGAAAGTGGGGAGAGGAGAGCGGGGCAGGGCGTCCATTCCGGGGGGCGGAGGCAGAGCCATGCGGGGAGTGAGGGAGCAGTTGACTGGGTGGTTGTCCAGGTAGATGCGGATGCCATGAGTGTGCTGGGCGTGCTGGAGCAGGAACCAGGCGCTGGTGAAGGTCTGCTTGCAGGTTGTGCAGATGTAGCTGGATGGTTCATCTTTCACTGTGGGCCAAGAGAAATAAATCATTAATGTACAAATCAAATATGCAAAGAAAAACATTTTACTCAACATTTCAAACCAGCATGTTACTTTCCACTGCCTGCACATTTATTAACAACCTGTGAAGAGTTATGTTTAGGAAAATTAATAGTACAGTTGTATTAGCTTTGTGTATCTGTGTATGGGGGTCTTCTGTCGGCTTTGTCTGCGTGCATATAACATTTTGAATGCGTGTGTGTGTCTACAGGCTAATGCAGATGGCAGGTACTGCCCTAAGGCCATGACACATTATGCTAATTCTAATGTCAGCTAGGCTTTAATACACAGATCCATCTCGTCTACTGTGTCATTTCCATATGGAGACACGGGAGACAACCACGAAAAAAAAAAACACCAATGGGGGAAAAAAGGAAATATGGGAGACTAGGAGGGAGGGAGGGAGGGAGGGGGTGGGATGTGGCATTAGAGAGAAGGAGAGACACACAAAGGGGAGAGAGGTGATGGAGACAACGTGTAAACTGTAAAGACCCCTCCGGTCTTAACACAGCATCCACATTAAATAAAGCTCTACGTCACTGGTGTAATAACTGGTACAGTAAAGCGATCTGTTGTGGTTGCACACACACACACACAAAGAGAGAGAGAAGGGGACTGTACGTCACTCACTGACAAATTGCCCCTTTAAATGGCGTGACTTAATAATGCTAAATGAATCTATCAGTCACTGTAGCATGGCACTGTCAGCCTGCTTGTGACTCATAAAAAAAGAGAGCAGGGGTTGGGATCCATCTAATTCAACACAGGCTACAGCACTGAAGAGGCATTTCCACAGTCTCATGTTCACTCCCGAGTCATCTGCATCTACTTTATGATCAGCAGCTACCGCAAGCGGCGTCGTAGACGGTGTGGTGGTACCGAAGCCCCCGAGCCAGGAGGGGGAAAACAAAGATGGAGAGGTTACTCTTGCCCAAAATCTTATGTGCTCAAGAGGAGAGCCTTTAAGATGGCTGTCTGTCTCTGAGCCGCCCGTTGTCATGGAATGTAAAACACACTCACAGACACTGATACATCGCGCAGCAATATTATATATTTACTTTCCTCCTCTGCCTCTCTCTCTGTTTCTCACAGCACACCTCGCTCACAGATTCACACACACACTTGTGCCGTGTGGAGCACATGAGCGGAAGCTGATGTTGGATCAGTGTTGAGTCCAGGAAGCTGATTTGGCGGTGTGATTGGTTTGGCTTTCCCTGGGGGAGACGGGGTCAGAAAAAGTTAATGAGGGGCTCATTTACTGATTCTGTCTGTTTTTCTCTGCTATTAGTGGGGGCTCTAGTGCAGCCGTCACTCTCTCTGTTTGTGTGGGGTGGGACATGACCTGACTCCCACTAACGTGCGTGAATGTGTGTGTGTGTGTGTGTGTGTGTGTGTGTGTGTGTGTGTGTGTGTGTGTGTGTGCATGTGTATGTGCGTGTGGACGCAAGCGTAACTTCTAAGCATGCATGTGTATATGTGTGTGTGTGTATGTGTGTATGTGTGTGGGGCAAGTAGTGGGCCGCCTGCCCGTGTTTAGTTTGGCGAGGCTTCACACGGCCGCTTGGCAGCAATGAGCTGGACAGCTTAACAGCTTTGGACAGGGAGAAGAGAGTGAGAGAGGGAAGGAGAGAGGAGGAGGAGAGAAGGTAAGAAGAGAGGTGGAGGGACATTAAGGACCAGACATGCTTGACTGCATAGACACACTCACACACACACACTTACACACACACACACAAAAGGCTATTTACATACCCTGAGGGAGCGAGAGGGGTCTATAGACTTGGGAGCTGTATAATCCCATCAACACACAAGGATCAATATGAAGTGAAATTGGGAGAGGGACTGATGATCTTGCTTAATTTACCAAATTGTGTGTTTTTAAATTTATTTTATCTCTATTTTGGTCTGTACACATGGCCTCATCAATACTACAAGCTACCCAATCATACCCACCCCCAACCTCACACACCCCCATCGCCGCTACAGCAACACATTTGCATCTTGTCATATCTTACACGACCGAGCCATATGCTGCTAAAGGAAGCGTGGCGACTAATAGAGTGGCAGCTGATGGCTACCGCCTAATGACGACCCAAGACAAATGTTATCAACTTCACAAACAAGCAAGGGAGCGAGCAGGGGGAGGGGAGGAAAACAGAGAGAGAGAAGAGAAACAGCAAGCTGTATGTCTCCACTAAAAGAATCAGAGATAGAGACGGATGGATAGACAGACAGACAGACAGACAGATAGATAGATAGATAGATAAATAGATAGATCCCTCCATGTTTCTCACTACAATTGCACAGAAATGCACCAAGACATAGGCCGCAGACATCCTAATTCCATTCTGTCCTCTCTCTCTTTCTCACACACAGACAAACACACACACGCACACACACTTGCACGCATGCTGGAGGAGTGTGACGATATCATTAAAGAATGAGCCGTGTCATGCTTCAGTTTCTAGCAATTATCGTCTCCTGCCTGACATGCAGACAGAGACCCTGACGCCGCTGACCACCAAGGTCAACGACCAGTTACAATAGTTAAATTCTCATCTCCACTCAGCCGCTGATGCTGATGCTAATCGTCCAATTTACACACACCATATGCACGCACACAAACACACACACACACACACACACCCACACACTGCTTAGTGGCTATGACTGAGATGAGAGGTTGCGATGAAATGCAGTCACAGCAAGATTCTGGTGATATGCTGCTACACTACACTCTGCTTTTGTCATTTTGCTAACCTCACAACTACTTCTGCAGTATATTGGATTCACCTTACCAAAAAAAATGAAAAAAGAAATCCCAGTGTCTGCCCAGGTGTCCACTCAGGCAGACTTTTCCCACGAAACACAGAAACGCCACACAAACCTGAGAGTGGCGTGGAGACCAGCTCTTTGCCCTGTGCAACAAAACCAGGGCTAAGGGCCAGGAGGCCTGGAGGAAGTTATTAAACATTGGCACATGCATGGAGCTGAGGTGGGCCAGTAATAATGCTCTCCTTCTCTCCTGGGTTGGTTTTTTTACTAAACCACCGGGCCAATTAACCCAGTCTTCAGGGACTGAGATCTGAGCTTTACATCAGATTTTATTCTTTCCAGATTGCCTTTTATAGCCATTATTTTCCTTAAAAGTACAAACAAAATGCCAGTGGATGAAGGGGAGCCATGGTATTGACTGTTCGCATATGGCCAGAGTAGAAAAGTTGGTGTGAGCTTGGCGGGGCTGAAGTAGAGACCAGGCGTATGGTGCAGACATGTGGATTTTGTGTTTAATTTGGGGAATTCACAAATGCCATCTCCACAGCATGACTCTGATTTATATAGCACTTACATTTTGGGGCCTTTATCAGATGCTCTAATCCATAGGGACTTATAATAAAACCACAGAAGAATAACAAAAATCCACAAGCTCAGCCTTCGAACAAGATGGGCAAAGCGGAGCGTCGCTGCTGACAGTGAGCAGTGAGTGGATGGTAATGAATGTTCACTGATGCCAAATTTCCCCTCACAAAGCTCAGGGAAAAACATCATAATTGAAAATAAGTAGAATTTGAATGCTGGCCCGCACCAACCTCTCCACTGTACCACATGAAGGGTGAAGCAAGGGTGAAAAATATTCAGGGAGCAAAGTTTGTAATGTGTATAAACAGAAGACGGTGCAGGTTGTGGTTGTTAACAAGGAGGTGAGTCAGGAAGCAGGTGATATGTTACAGTTGGTGCCACGTGTGTGTGTGTGTGTGTGTGTGTGTGTGTGTGTGTGTG